TCTGTCTGTCTGTCTGTCTGTCTGTCTGTCTGTCTGTCTGTCGTCTGTCTGTGCGTGTCGACAGATCTGATTTCTAGTGAATTTCACAATTTCTGCGCATGATGAATCTTATCCATTTCATATTACACTATATTGTTATATTATCAAAAGTAAATGAAAAAAAACTCGTGATGATGGTCATGTACAGTATTTGCTCTTTTAAAAGCACATGTGTATTAATAATTTAATATACAATAAAGGCACTTTAGATGTGTTTCTAATTGAGCAAATACAGTATAGTCAGATGTCAATTAAAGAACAGAATTTAAACTGTATTTTTGCAATTTTTGTTGCTATGACATTCTGTGGAAAGTAACCACTAAATAGGTATTTATTTATGCATACATTGTTTGTAGACAGCATGCTCATTTGTTGACTTGTTAATTTAAACTATAATCATTTTGTCATCCACGAAAAACAGCTACGCAAATCAACACTTTGTATTTGTAGCTGTCTTGTCTGGGGAGAACTTTCACAGAAGTACCGGTAGTACGTAAATTACTGCTTCAAAATGTAAAAGAAGTATAACTGATTTTCTCTAATATTTTGGTGCGTCACAACCACTTTATCTTAAAGTCAATTACATTATTTGCATGAATCTTGCATGGTAGTGAGCTATTCGCATAACCTGTTTTTCAACATGTATAATTATGTACATTAATATCTGGCTAAAATGTTATACCTGGAAGTATACCTCCTTGGATAAGCAAACGATGAGTTTTGGATGCCCTGGTTGCTTAGTTACCATGTGTATGAAGAGGGGGGTGTTGTTTTCAACGCATCTTTACTTTCACTATACCATCTTTATTGTTTGGGACATGTTGGTTCCTTATTGGTGTCATCCAAATTAGCTTTGAAAGTTTACAAACTTGTCATAAAATATAGAAAATGTGTTTTACATTCATACACACACAACTAAGTTGGTCAGAATATAATTTATATCATCTTGGTATCTGTACCTTTTGTAAGGTATTTCTGGGGGAACATCATACAAGCATGTATATTCAACTTGTCTAAAAACCTGACGCAAACTGGCTCTTACACAACCAGTTGTAAAATCACCACTTGCAACACCCTACCCCGCTCACCAACAACACCACCACCTAGCAACCAGGAAACTTGAAATTAGAAACTATTGTTATCAAAGGCCCTGTCTTAACCCTTTCACCACCAGACTTTCTCACCCAAATTTTTTTCTGCACTTTTTGCTTATATCTCCTCAGTTTTTTTTGAAATGAACACTAATTTGCATCAGTTTTTACTCCAAAAAGTTGGCTATTTTTGTCCCAATTTTCTGAAGGAAAGTACTGACTATAAACGGGACTATTTTGTGAATTTGTGATGAAAAAAGAGGGAACTGGTGGTGAAATAGTTGATTAAACTCCCAGTTTGTATATAAATCAATAACGCTATAATGGATTGTTTTATGCTATAATCAAAGTTCATATATTGTGTATTGATTTCTATATTGGCTTGTTTACTGTAATCTGTTGTGAGTGTCAATGGTTTCATAAGTTTTCCCATCATTTATCCATCTAACCCTACAACTCAGGTATTTTATACAACTTACTTCAGTAAAGGGGGGGGGTCCAACTCGCTTGACAATTCTGCTCATTCTCCTCAAGTTTGTATTTACCGTACAGACTGAGGATAGCAGGCACTTAAAATTTGGTTTCATATTACCATTTCCCACCAAGCATTTATATCTTTTTCCATTGGTATTCACACCTCGTCTCTCGCTTGAAGTACCAGTTGTCAAATTAGAATTTGAACGTCCTAACATTTAATTAAATTTTCTGAAGGTTGGGTGTGAATTTTTTTTTTTTTTTTACCATTTCACTGCCTTTTTTTAAAAACAATTTTTTTAAAAAACATTTCCAACCTTGTATCTCCTAGCAGCTCAATGAGGTGTTATCAGTAACTGTCTTGAAGAGATATTGAGAACATACCGTGCTCCAACCAATATTATAATTAACTTCTAATAACAAATGCAGATTTTTATTGCCAGGTTTTAACGACCCTGTTTTGATGTATTTCTTTTCTGAAATAACAGATCTTGATCTCGTAAAACTGCTTGAAATATTGTGCATCATTTAATATTAGCCTGGTTATGATTTAATTTTGCCATTTTGAATTATTAGGAAAAATGTTTGTCAGGAGGACAATATACAACTCATGACTATGTCTGTGTAAGATGCACAACTTGCATGTATATAGAACTGAATACTGTATCTCTATGTGGCTTTGTAAATCATCACAAGAATACCATCTTATGATCTTGAAGTTACAGATGGTGTTCCTTATAAAGCAGAAATATTAGAATTATTTAAATTCTATGCTTGATATATTTCCGTGCCAAAACTAAAACATCTTGACAATCATCTTGAGGAAAATAATCCACAGTTGCTAGGAGATGAAACTCCTCGCTTGTGTACATATACAACTTAGATTTTCACAGGCACATTCCTGTCTTTTGAAACTATTTATTTTAGTACATCATGAAAAACTTTTTTTCTTTCTTAAATTTGTATCTAGGCCAGCAATATTTGTTGAAAGAATTTGTAAATTAAAACCATGTATGTGTATAAAACCACCTGTAAATTAGAAAGACTATCACCAGTCATGTAAATACATTTTAGACATATCTATACAGACCCTTATTCCTTTTTTGTCTGTTTTAGTTTGTTTTGTATACAATTTATGACTCGGTTTTGTTTAGTATGTTCAATTGTAGTTGGTATAATCCGCCTCTCTTTTCGTAATCATTGTATGTGGCGAAGCCGCGCAGGTCAATCTGATATAGCCATTGATGATACGACTAGGTGAATTTAATTAATAGGCGTCTGTAGCCAAGTACTAATTCTAGCTATACTTAATAAAGCCGTGGGTATAATTTCCAGTTGTGTACTCAACACGATTTGTGAAATTCTATATGAATTACGTCAATTGAACAAAACCAGCTGTTCCATATTTGATTTCATGAACCACGTCCTCGCACGGCTAAAGAATATTAGTGGTGAATAGTAGTTCTGCGTAGAAATATAATTTGTAGGAAGATTTCTGAAAATACTGGTTAGATTATGGCACTTGCACGTTTGAATATATTGATGCAAATTGCATATAATGAACTTCATTGCGTTGAGTACATACCTGTCAGTGTCTCTAAATAAACAAATAATTCTATCTTTCTATATTTCATATTTATTTTACACACATTTATCATTTATTATAAAAATCTATTGCCCTGTATTTTTTTGTCCCCAATGCCTGTAAACTTGTTCTGAATATTAAAACAAATTTAAGTTGTTTTGGATAAATGTTGTCATCTTGTGTTTTGTTCATTAGCTCAAATAGTTGTGTGATTCTGAATTGCATTTCTCTATTTATATTTTCAGTGTTGCAAACTTGCTAACCAGATTAGCAAATAAAAAAAGAGGCAGAGTGGGGGACTGACTGCAAATTTGTGAATGTACATCTTGTGATTCATTTATATATAAGTACTGTGGGATAATTTCTTGATTATAGGAAAAATCCAAGTACTCTCATAGTATATGAAGTTCAGCCCAAAATAAAATGTTGAGAATGCAGTCGGAGGACTTTACATCTTTGAAAAGTCCAGGTAAAGGGTTTTATCTGGTGTAAAATCTCCTGACCTATCTATAAATGTACATTTTGGGGAAAGTTTCAATTTTAAAGGCATTCAAAAAATCTTCTCAACAATCCTATACGAGTTTGGTACACCCCTATTTTCAAATGAACTATGCTATAAAAGAAATATTTGCATATTGAAATTGTAGCAGGTGGATGCTATTTTGGGAGTATCACGATGATCACGATTCATTTCGTTTATACATAGACCCCTCCAGTAGAGGGTCTATGGTTTATAGTAGCTCTAAAGAATGTATGTATACGAGGTCAGAGTTCAAATGGGCCATGGTGGTTTCTTTAAGTACAGCAAAACTTGCCCAGGGTTTTATCGTAATATTACAGTTTTCTACATAAAATTTTTTTGGAAGAAATCATTGGCGGGGGGGGGGGGGTAACTTGGCCATATGAAAGGGCACTAGTCGGAATCGGAACCGCGGGACATTTAGTATTTTATGCAATGAAGCTATCTGATTGGTGGAGAGGCTGTGAAAACAATAAATCTGATTGGTGGAGAAGCAGTGAAAGCAATAAATCCATATATTTGATTTGATTTTTATTGTCGTCTCGGTTCTTTTGTGAAACGTAAACTTAGCTCTCTCTTACTCTGACGTTTTCTGATGCATTGTTATCTGCGGCACGTCCAATCACTGAAATGCCAGCTGATGCCGGATGCGCATTCAAATCTGCGCAGTGTCTATAAACATGTTTGTATGTCTTCATTTTATCTATTTAGCTTTCAAAACGTAAAAAGCATTGCATCATTAAAATCTAAAAATGTCTCGAATCACACTGT